AGATACATCCTGCTTCATCGAAACACCATTGTTTCATATTGGTCGCGACTGACTACTTTACCAAATGGGTAGAAGCAGTTGCTTTGAAAAATGTGGATCAGAAAGAAGTGATAGACTTCGTCTTGAACCAAATTATTTACAGATATGGTATTCCTCAGTCTATAACAACCGACCAGGGCCTGGTTTTCACAGGGGAAAAGTTCTCTAGTTTCTTGGCAGAATTTGGTGTCCGATTACACCATTCGTCACCTTATTATCCCCAAGCCAATGGACAAGCGGAAGCAGCAAATAAGATCATTATTGGGATTATAAAGAAGATGATTGAAGGGAACCCAAGAAAGTGGCATTTGTTACTGTCTCGGGCTTTATGGGCACACAGGAATACCAGAAATACGGCCACAGGGTTCTCACCGTACCAACTCACTTTTGGCCAAGATGCTGTTTTACCAGCCGAAATCCGAGTATCGTCTGGCCGGACAGAATTTACTGATGGTGATCTTACAAAAGAATACCAACAGCTTATGTTGCAACAGTTGGAGGAGTTGGATGTTAACCGACTCCATGCAATAGGTCAAAGTGTGAAACAGAGTGAAATCAGAGCAAGGAATTACGGAAAGAAAGTTTTTTACAGGACATTCCAAAAAGGAGACCTAGTTTGGAAGACCATTCTTCCTACATATAAGAAAACTGACCAATTGGGAAAGTGGTCACCGAATTGGGAAGGACCATACATTATTCAAAAAGATATTGGGAATGGCGCTTTCATTATTGTAAATCATGAAGGTAAGAGAGTACATGATTGTATTAATGCTAAATATCTGAAGAGGTATTATCCTGCCTTTTCAGATAACAAAATTGCATGAAACAAAATATTATTCAGAACCCATTTATGGGGTTCGAACCTATTTAAAGGTTCATTTCTGTTAGTCATCATGTATTGGTGAGAAATTTTCTGCCTCTGAATCAGAATTTTCATCCCAATGAGTGGATATTAGTTCTGGTTCTTCTTCAATAAGATCTTCCAAATCTGGTCGGTACCTCTCCCATTGGCTTTGCATTTCGTCTAAATCTTGATTGGTACGTGCTTGCATGTCTGTTATGGCTTGATATTCACGGTCAACAATGGTACGCAATCTTGAAAAGACTTTTCGTTGATTGGAAAATATATTATCCCAACCAAGGTCTGGAAGTATGGTTGCTGCGTGATTTTCAATCAATTCCATGTGATGATGGAGGTCAGGAATGCGGCTAAGGATGTCACGAAGAGTTTCATACCCCTCAATGATTTTTTCCATCAGGCGGATGACGCGATGAATGGTTCTTCTACCTCGTTGGGAGAATCGGAATTTGAAGTCTAGTTGCTTGAGTATATGTAACAAGTCTTCTGCATGGCCTCCAACAGGGTGATTACCTACAAAGAAGGGTTGAAGAACACCTTCCCAGTTGCTTGATGGAACATGAGGTCGGTCGTTCGCCATGTTTGTTAACACTTCAAGTGTTTTGGTTTTCAAAATATGCCTTGGAATTTGGTGTGTTTCTTAATATGTGAGAAACATTGTTCTTTTAAGGGAGGAGTTTGTTTCGGTTCCTCAAAAGTTGGAAATTGGAAGGTGATCCTTGTTTTGAGAGAAGAAGGAAAAATATATTACTAAGTCAAATGATGTTACAGAGGGGGAAGTATTACAAAAGTGCCCCTAGGGCAGTTTTTATATTTGTCCATTTGACTTCATCCCTGGATAGCCTTCTGGTATTAGCAGCCGTCTGATATCTTCTGATGAATTGGGATCGAGCTTGGGTTTTTAGCTCTTGATCCAATTCGGCCTCGTTCTTTGTATACTTCTCAAGCAGACGCTGCTCATTGGTAATTTGATTATCCAGGATAGACTGTTCATTCCTTAGCTCCTGCAATTCTGCCTCCTCCTGCAAGTCTTACAGTTTCAATAAGTACTCCAAAGGAGGTGCAAAATTATTCAGGCGAGATATATGTTACCTCTGGGCGAACTGCTGTCATTGAGGGGGGCAACAATGAGGTCTGTCGAGTAGGGCGGACAGCTGGTATAACAGCAGCCGATTCGTCGGCTGCTGCGAATGGTCGCTGAGGTGCCGACCTGGGTCCCTATGGAAAGTAGTATATAAAACAGTTAGTGTTTTTAGAAAGAAACATTGTGGCATGAATTGGTTTCATCTTACCAAATTCACAGAAGTCTCCGAATTAGACGAAGAAAGTTCTTCTATTTCTGGAGGTTGGGCTGCCACAGGTGGTTCTTCTGCCTGCCACTCGATTGCTGGAAGTAGGGCCGCTGCTGGCTGGGCGGCTGCTGGTTGGGCGGTTGCATCTAGGGCCACTGCAGCCGGTACCTCAGGAGCAACTGGGATAGCCGCAGCTGAGGTACTTTCGGCTTCCAGCGCGGCTGCATCCGATTGGACGATTTCGGGATCAGCAGCAGCAGGGATGTTGTCTTGAGGGTCAGCTTCGGCAAGGGCAGGCGGTTCTTCTTTCGAAATGGATGAGTCTGATGCCATGTATGGCGGTCGACCCATCTGAGAAGTAGTCCCCTCGCTGTCTGAAGAGACCCCTGCTGCTGATGTGATTGGTGAAGGTGTCTGTGAAAAAGTATGGAAATGTTGTTGTTAAATACACCAAGGTTGATCATTAGAATCCTAAGTATTGCAGATGAGAGGACTTACTGGTTCTATAGGCAGTGCTGGTAAAGATTGCCTCCTGGTCGGGTGCCTGGTCCGACCGCTCCTCGGCGCGGGAGGAAGAGTTTGCCTCCTTGTCGGGTCCTCCGCCCGACTGCTCGTTTGGAGAGGAAGTGCCTGAGACTGGACCAAAGGGACGATTGATTGGTCAGCTGGGGCTGGCGTCGTTTGTGTGGTCGGTGCTACCAAGGTCGGTTCTGGTGAATGAAATGAGTGAAATCAAAGTTAAGATATAATGAATTGGTTCACGGTTTTCAGAAAAATTACCAATTCGGGGTCGGGTCCTTGCTGACGTCCTAGTAGTTCTAAGGTCCGCCGGAGCTTGCTGGTCAGCCCCAGAGGTCGGAGGTGTTTGCAGCTGGGAAGCTTTCCTTTTCCGCATTGGGACGCTAGATCCGACTCCCGGGGCGGCTGTTTGTTGCTGAGTGCTGGTATGTTTAGCTGCCCCTAGAACCAATCCTTGGGGGGAAGGAGCACGTTCAGCAACCGATCCTCATCAGGGGAGATCAGGGCCCATACAACCGACCACCATTCATTGAATGTATTTACAGTCTCAGGGTTGGAGCGGAAAGGAATATAAGAATTGGAAACTATATACGTGGTGAGCTGGGAGATATAAGAAGGAATTGAATTAGGTAGGACCCGTCGGTCAGGACTTTGAAAAATTATATGAGGACAAGCGACGGGTCCAGGGATACCTTGGCAGCAGCCGAACTGGCGCGCCATGAATTGAGGTTCGTAATTAAAGGTGCAAAAAGTTTTTTGCCCTTTTTTATCAAGTTTTTTACTGCTAAAAAGAGACCTGGGTTTGAGGGCAACGTCCCAGGCAAAAGGATAAGTGGGATGAGGACAGGGCTCAGGAGTCGGAAGAGGATTTGGTGCCGGAAAAGGCCAAAAGTGGTCGGGAGCATAACCCGCATATTTTTTATACATAGAAAATCGAGAGTTACTGCGGGTATCTGTCAAAATTGTGGTTATTATTGGGTCGGAGGATTGGAGTTTACTGCGTCCTGAGCAGAGTCGGTTGAGGGCCAATCCCAAATGTTTTTCGGATCTTGGCATAGTGGGTGGAGATCCTAAGTTGAATGCGTTGGGGAAGTAAAGACGGAGCCAAAGTTCTAAAAACCAAAAAGGACCCGACGCGGCGGTGTCTAATTTTCTATTATCATTATCTGTTAAACGAAGGCTAACTCTAGTGAGTCCTTCAAACAGATTGGCTAAAAACAGAGTGCCAAGGGAAAAGAACCGGCCTGACGCGATATGAATGGCCAGGTCGAGGTGAGAAGAAAGAACGCATTTAGAAGGGGAAACAATGACGTACCTACAAAGCCAAAAAAGAATAAAGGCAGTATGCTCCCGGTCGGTCACGGGGGTCCCTGGAGCCCCTTGCTGGTCAATCGCGAACTTTGTCCAGCCCCATTCCTTCACGCCTTGTAAAGACCACCCTGGATGGTCTTCTGGTGGCTCCTGCCCATCTAGGGCTCCCATCACAGGGTCTTCACCCACGACTGGGAGATGAGCGATCATCGCTACATCCATAAGAGTTGGACCAAAGGGGCCCGACGGTAAGAGAAAAGTCCCATTTTCCGCATTCCAGAAGGCCGACATAGCTAGGAGCACCTTCTCGTGCAGATTGATCGGCATGGTGGATAATAGAATCGCTTGGTCGATTTTTTGAGATCGCCATTGGGTCTGGAAGTGTTCTGATACCCGTCGATACCAAGAGCGATAAGGATCTTTTGGGTCTGTAAGATGGGTTTTGATGCTGTCTCGAATGCGAATTGCTTGGTAAGTAGGGTTGTTGACAGCCAAGGAATTTCGGGATTCCAAAACTTCCCTCATCCGATTTGAGTCTTCAGGAGTAGTGCAGTATGGGCGGATGGTCGGAGTTAGTACTTTCGAGGCTGAAAACGGGCCCTCTGGGAGGGTTCCGTCGAAGGGAAGAGCAGGAATGTATCGATTCGCCATGGTTAGAGTGGTTGAGATTGTGATTCACAAAGGCTCGTATTGCGGAAAGGGAAGTTAATCAGGAGTGTTGCAGTAACTGGTGCAGTTGTTAAGGGAATTTTTCAAGAGGGTGGTGCTTTATGAACTTCCAAACGTCGATTGATAAATGGCGTTTGAAAGTCCCTTGGCGGCGGGCAAGTTGTTACGTATGAAATTTAGAATTAGGTTAAAAAGCCCAAGGTAAAAGAAAAATGGGCCTGACAATAGAGTTGATTGAACTGGCTGAAGGACACCGTGAGGAAATCAAGGAAAATAGGTTTATTTCTAAGGAAAATACAGGACGGAAAGACCTCAGGTCGGAAGGTCTTCAGGTCGGGAGGTCCTCAAGACGGAAAGTCCTCAGGACGGAAAGACCTCAGGTCGGAAGGTCTTCAGGTCGGGATGTCCTCAAGACGGAAAGTCCTCAGGACGGAAAGACCTCAGGTCGGAAGGTCTTCAGGTCGGGATGTCCTCAAGACGGAAAGTCCTCAGGACGGAAAGACCTCAGGTCGGAAGGTCTTCAGGTCGGGAGGTCCTCAAGACGGAAAGTCCTCAGGACGGAAAGACCTCAGGTCGGAAGGTCTTCAGGTCGGGATGTCCTCAAGACGGAAAGTCCTCAGGACGGAAAGACCTCAGGTCGGAAGGTCCTCAGGTCGGAAGGTCCTCAAAACGGAAAGTCATCAGGACGGGAAGTCCGCAGGTCGGGAGGTCCTCAGGTCGGAAAGTCCGCAGGTCGAAAAGTCCTCAGGGCGGAAAGTCCTCAGGTCGAACAGGTCGGGAAGTTCTCAGGTCGGAACTCTGCGGCGGGACCAACAAGTCGGATGGTTTGTTAGTCGGGATGTCTGTAGCTAATCCAAACAAGGCAGATGGTTTGGAAGTCGGGAGGATTGGCAGTCGGACCAATACGGTTGTAGATTGGCAGTCGGGCCAAAAGGGCGGAAGGTCTGTGGTCGGCTCAAAGAGTGAAATATAGTGACAATTTTGGTCCGCTGAGGACACGTGTCAGCAGGAGAAGGGTTGGAAGACGGTTGGAAAGGAGACGTTGTAACCGTTCGGGCGACGGTTTTCAGTACAGTTTCCCAGAGAATATTTAAGGGTTTGGATCATCATTTGGCAGAGCATCTTCAATCAACTTCAACAAAGCAAAGTCAGATTTGGGGATCACCACTTTAAATTTCAGTCTTTTATTTTCCAGTTTATTTTCTGTACCATACAGTGTTTAGAGATTCCTAATCTCAGGCACTAATTAATCAAGTTTAAGGATATTTTCTATATCTTTGAATTTTACTTTATTTTTGTTGAAAAATTACATCAACAGCTATCAAATGGTTTCAATATAAACGAGTGTGACAAATGTGTCTACATCAAAGAAACACCTTCTGGTTTATCATAATATGTTTATATGTAGACGACCTACTAATCATGGCCAAAGGGGTCAGTCTGATCAATGAGGTCAAATGCATGTTGAGTCGTAACTTCGACATGAAAGATTTGGGGGTTGCCGATGTCATCCTTGGAATGAAGATTCTAAGACAAGACGAAGGTATTGTCTAACTAAGTCTCACTATGTGGAAAAGATATTGAGAAAATTCAATGCCTACGAGAACACTCCAGTGAAAACCCTAATGGATCTCAGGGTACACTTGAGCAAGAATAGGGGAGACCCCGTAGCTCAAGAAAACTATACCAAAATTATTGGAAGCCTAATGTACTTAATAAATTGTACAAGGCCTGATCTGGCTTGCTCTGTAAACAAGCTGAGTCGATACACTAACAACCCCAGTCATGAACTCTGGAAAGAGCTAGTAAGAGTATTAAGTTATCTTAAATTTACTCTGAATTTTGGTATACACTACGCGAAATATCCACCGGTACTCGAAGGGTACTGCGATGCCAATTGGATATCAGATGCAAAAGACTCACTGTCTACAAGTGGATATGTATTTACAATTGGAGGAGGAGTTGTCTCGTGGAAATCCACAAAACAGACGTGCATTGCACGGTCCACAATGGAATCGGAGTTCATCGCCTTGGACAAAGCTGGCGAAGAAGCCGAATGGCTGAGGAACTTCATGGATGATATTTCATACTGGACTAAACCAGTACCTCACGTAATGATTCACTACATTAGCCAAGCTGCAATTGCAAGGGCTAAGAATGGAATTTACAATGGTAAATCCCGAAATATCCGACGTAGACATAGCACTGTAAAAAATTTGATCACCAGTGGGGTTTTGACCATCGAATATGTAAAATCAATAGAAAACCTAGCGGATCCGCTAACCAAAGTGTTGCAGAGAGATCAAATGTAAAAACTGCTAAAGGGAATGAGTTTGAAATCCACAAGATAGAGACAATTAGTGGGAACCCAACCAAATCACTTGGAAATCCCAAGCCTTGGTTCAATGGAAAACTAAATTTTAAGAGTCCGGCACGAACACTCAATACAGTTCCTTAAAAAACAATGAGTGTTATAATGTGCAAAAGTGGTGACGTTGAGTCAGTGACTCTTAATGATCCTAAAGGTGTGAGTAAGATACCTTGATATAGGATTACCTATATAAGTGTGAAGTGTGGGCCGCTTCAAATGAAACACTTATGAATCCAAAGATGAGATCCATGGCCGAAATGGATCAAAACGTGAGGACAAAGTTGAGATTGAGACAGCGACACGTCAATATTATTGACTAAGTGCACGCAAAGGCGGAACAGTTCAATGCATCACATCAACTGGGCCACAAGTACACTCTGTAATGTTGACTATGGAAGGTTCAAAGCCAAAAACTACCTGTCCTGGTGTGTCAATGTCTTACAGGGATTGAGCTGGGTTTTTGTCATTTATGGGCATTTTCACTCATGTGGGGGATTGTTGGATAATCGGTTGTTTTGCAATCGATTATTTGTGAGTGAAAATACGACGGGCCGGTGTACCAAATTAATATAATTAATTTGGAAGAAATATATTATTTATTTATTTGTGTATGGGGTTTGGTTAATATTTTGGCTATTTTGCCTGTCTCGAGATAAACCAAATTGTGCAACCCCAAATTAAAATCGGGTATATGGCCTAAGTCGCAATATTATTTGGAAAAAATATTATCCGTTGAAGAAATTTATTATAATCTCAAACGGAATGTTTGAAATTAGAATAAATTACAATCGTTTCAAACGGAAGGTTTGAAATTAGAATAAATTACGATTGTCACAAACGGAAGGTTTGTAATTATAATCAATTACGACTGCTTCAAACGGAAGGTTTGAATTAATAATTAATTACATCAATAATTAAGGTCGTAATTATGATCGTAATCAATCCCCTGCCATTTTGGCGGAGTGGAGACGCCTATATAAAGGGTCTCCCCCTTCATTCTAATCAACCAACCAAAAGAAATTAATCCTCTCATCCTTCTCTCCTCTCTTCTAGCTTTCCGGAAGCTTCCCCAGCTCAGTCCCTATCTCGTTTTTGTTCGCCGGAGCTCCAACAATTAGAGGTGTCACTCTCATTGGAGACGGAAACCGTTTTATCTTTGGATTAGAACGCCATCCACCGGAGGCACTACCGAGGCGTATCTAATTTTTGGAAAGAGATTCCATCCTCGACTCGGTTTCACGTTTATTCTCGCAATACCCATATATTCCAACAGATTATGGCATCCAAGGGATAGAAGAACATGAATACAGATAAAACATATTTGTTTCTCTTAATAGGAATTCAAATCTTCTACAACCTTTTGACCCAGGAAAACATAGGTTGCTTTTTTATTCTTACATTGGGACAAAGTAAACAACGACATTATTAAATATCCTTAAAACATTTTGATTTTAAATATTTGACTGCTCAATAAGTCATACTTATGGGACAACTCACATGTTTTTTTTTTCATTTTTATTCTATTTTGATCGATTTTTATCAAGGGAAAAGTAGCTTCAAAGTCAATTATCACGGTCTCTGTAGCATTTCCTTTTTGATGTCGGATGCAGAGTCTAACAACAATTTTTGTATCATGTCTCATATGCCAATATATAAAAGTTTCAATTTTTAGTTTTCTCAAAGAAGTATTGAATTTGTAATAATGAACTTTCATGGATAATGAATACTTAAACGAAAGTTACCTTATACTACCATAGATGTTGTTCACATTCTAAAAGACAAAATAATTTCAATTTCTTTTTTGTCCTTGTTCTAAAGCTAGTATTTTTTTGCATATCTCCCGAGGGTTGTTTTAAATCTCTTGGCAGTCCATAATTTACACATTCACTTATGTACTCTTTTAATTAAATTTGGTTTTTCAAGTAAATAATATTATTATTCGTTGTTGTTATAAGATTTTTATATTTGGTTGTAATACTCACATACTCATGTATGAAAAGTGAACCACGGAAGGTGTATAATGTAGACGTTAGCTTTATCTGCATTTTATATAACCATTAGAGAACCGATAGTTGAGATATATGAAAATTTTGAACATAATTCAGTAAAGGGGTCACAATCATAAGAAGTACCAGCTACGAAGCAACACTACCAAAAAAATGTTATTTTCTAGCGAAATTAAATCCGATGCAATAGTTCTGTCACAAAAAATGGTTTTTGTTACGTTTTTTGTCAGAACAAAATTTTTTTTGTTTTCGTCAATATTTTTTCTTATTAATAGTTTCTCCCTAAATTAATTTAAAAAATAATAGAAATAATTAAAAAATAATAAATTTTTAAAAGCGTTTAACACTTTCCAAATTATAGACAAATAAAAGTTGAACATTTTAACACTTTCCAAATATACAAATAAATACGTATATAGTAACATGTGTCTTAACACTTAAAAAACCGATTCCATTTCCATTTTTCCCAAATCTAAAATCGCTTCCCGATTTGCACCGGAAAGCTCGCCGATACTCCGTCCTTTGCCAAATCCTAACCTAGGTAGTCAATTTTTTCTGTTGGCGCTTGGAGGAAGTTGAAAAACCAACTGGGCACACCAAATCAGGAAATACTTCTCCCGTTGTCTCAGATGATTAACTCTTGCTAGCGGTCACGCCCGTCCCCCCTTCCTTCGCCGCCGACGATGAGCGCCGGTCACCTTCCCCAATTCCCGGTGAGAAGGTTAATGTTTCTAGGTTTCTTTTACCATCTTTCTAATATTAGGATGTGTATTGTGTATGTTATGGCATAGGTGAAAAATAATGTCATGAAAGAGAAAGAAGCGTGTCATATTAATAAAGCGTGAGTCGTGTAATTACGTTTCTTAGCATGTAATTGCAGTATAAATAGCATATTGTACTTGAAAGGAAGGGAATAAGAAGAAAAACCGCCAAAATTACCTTTTTTCTTTATTTCCTTTTTTCCTCTTTCAATCTCTTTGCGCTTTGTCCGCCATTGCTGAAGGCGTGACAATTTGGTATCAGAGCAGGTTTTTTTTGTTGCTCCTTTGATGCTCCTATGATGACACGATCTCAATCATATCGGTTGGATACTCTGGAACAACAAGTGACAGAAGTTATGGATGGGCAAACTCCTATAGTCCAAGGCCAAATTCAAATGGAAGCTAGACTTGAATTTAAGATAAATGCGAAGTTGGAGAGTCTAGGAGATATGTTGAAGACTAAATTTGTGAATTTCATGAAGGAACAACAAGCTGGACCTTCAACCAAAGGTAAGGAACCTTTGGATCCTTCTTCTGCACATATAGCTTTTGACTCTGCTGCTAAGCCTAGGGAAGGAAGAGAAATATTGTCTCTTATTCCTATGACTAGGTTGAACGAGTCAAACCATGCTTTACACAATAATAAATTGTGATTAGAGTTTCCAAAATTTAATAGGGATAATCCCAGGCTCTGGCTTAGAAAATGCACTAGGTATTTTGCTTATAATCTAGTGTCCGATTATGATAAACTCAGCCTCGTTGCTATGAAGTTAGAAGGAGCATCTGATAGATGGTTTGTGGACTATGAAAACATTATTCTATCATGGCCTGAATTCTCTGGATTAGTAATGGAAAGGTTTCTAAATCCGGTTGGAGGGAGTTTAGTTGCTCAGTTCAATAAATTCAGGGAAAATACCACTATGCAGAATTATATCAGGAGTTTGAAAAAATGAGAGCCTTACTAAAAGAGGATAATAAAGCTTTGAAAGAAAAATATTTTGTGGAAAGTTTTATTGGTGGATTGAAGAAGATTGGGAAGTTTGTGACTATGCGGAAACCTATTACTTTGAGAAATGCTATTCAATTGGCCATCCAAAATGAGGATATAGTCAATCTCCTTACTAAGGGACAAAGAGGACTGAACAGAAGTGGCAATCCTCAACCAAAAGTGTCAACAATTAAGAATAGTTCCGATGTTGCTAAGCCAAAGTTACCTCCTATTAGGAGGTTGTCTCCTGAAGAAATGAAGGCTAGAAGAGAAAAAAAAATTGTGCTTCAATTGTGATGAGGTGTTTCATATAGGACACAAGTGCAAAAGAGTATGCTTGATCATGGGAGAAGAAAGTGGGGAGGCTCACAGTGGGACTTTTGAGTTGGGAGAAGGCCAACAAGGGTTGGAGGAACCCCAACTCTCTTTGAATGCTATGGCTGGTCAAGTTCCTTCTAACACCATTAAGTTGTTAGGAAAGTCTAATAACTGTGAGTTAGTCATCTTGCTGGACTAAGGCAGCACTCACACTTTTTTGGACCAAAAAATAGCTTTAAAGTTGGGGTGTACAGTGTAGTTTAGTGATCATTAGTTAATAACCATTGCAGCTGGGAATAAAGTTGAATGCAAATCTAAATGCCCTATGTTTGCTTGGGAAATGGGAGGTCACACGTTTAGTGCCCCTGTGAGATTGTTGAAGTTAAGGGGTTGCGACATGGTTATTGGGGTAGACTTGCTAAGTCAATTTGGAAAGGTGACTTTGGATTTTTCAGAGCACACTGTTCAGTTTTGCTTTAAAGGGATGATGATTAAACTTCAAGGAATTCATCCTGGGATTGCATTAAGTACGCTAACTGTGACTCAATTTAGTAAAGAGCTTGAAATGGAAGGCACTAGGGGCTTCTTATGCCTTATATCTTGACAAACAAAAGATGAGACATTTGTTTCTCATCCAGAAATTGAGTCATTGCTCCAGGAGTTTAAGCACCTGTTTGAAGACCCCACTAGTTTACCCCCTAAGAGGAACATGGATCATAGAATCCCCACCAAGCCCAATATAGGACCTATTAAGCAGCATGCTTATAGGTATCCTATGCTTCAAATGAGAGAAATTGAGAAATTGGTGAATGAAATGTTGCAAAAAAGGATTATTCGACCTAGTAGCAGCCCATATTCCTCACCTGTGCTACTAGTTAAAAAGAAGTGTGGCTCATGGAGGTTTTGTATTGATTACCGAAAGCTCAATGCAGCTACAATAAAAGATAGCTTTCCTATCCCCTTGGTGGAGGATTTATTGGATGAGCTACGTGGAGCAACTATCTTTTCGAAAGTAGATTTAAGGGTTGGCTATCATCAAATCATAATGCATGAAGAGGGTATACCTAAGACAACATTTGTAACTGCCTCGAGACTGTATGACTTCATTGTGAATCAGATTTTTAAGTCTCACAAATGCACCAACCACCTTTCAAGCAGTCATGAATCAGATTTTTAAGTCTCATTTGAAAGATTTTATCCTGGTTTCCTTTGATGACATACTCATTTACAGCTTAAACATGGCTGAACATTTGAAACACTTAAGAGAAGTGTTCAATATTCTGTCCCAGCACACCTTGTTTGCCAAAAAATCAAAGTGCAGCTTTGGCAATGTGGAGGTTGAGTACTTGGGGCACATAATAGGGGGTGGGAGAATACAGATGGATAAGTCTAAGATCCAAGCAATGTTAGATTGGCCAACTCCATCTAATGTTAAGGCATTAAGATGGTTCTTGGGCCTCACTGGATACTACAGGAAGTTTATTCAACATTATGGCGTGATTGCTAGGGCCTTAACTGATCTAACAAGAAAGGGCAAGTTTGTGTGGTCTTTAGAGGCTGAAGCTGCCTTCCAGCGGCTTAAAAATGCAATGGTAGAGCTCTAGTTTTAGCCTTACTTGATTTCACCAAACCTTTTGTTGTGGAGACCAATGCATCTTACAAGGGTTTGGGGGCTGTTCTTATGCAGGACCAGCATCCTTTGGCTTTCTTAAGCAAAGCCTTAGGTCTTAAGAATTTGGGGTTATCAATATATGAGAAGGAATTCTTGGTCATAATATTGGTTGTGGAGAAGTGAAGGTCTTATTTGCTTCTATTCCATTCATTAGAACAGATCAGAAGAGCCTGAGATATTTGCTAGAACAGAAAATCTCAACACCATTTGACTAATACTTAGAAATCAAAGAAATATGATAAATCAAAACAAGTCTAATCTCTCAAATTCATACCAATTTGTTTTTCACTCCTAGATTAGAAAAGTAAACTACTTGCTAATCATAGGAGGAAGAACAAAGAAAACAAAGATAAACATCACCTGAGAATGATGTTGGTAGGGATAGAGATGGGGCCTTTGATGAGTTTTAAATTATTTTATTTTTGATTTGGATTGCGTAGTTGTGGGTTGTGAAGGTTTGGTAGGTGTCATGGTTCTTGCTGACCGTGGTTTATGTTGTAATGAATTTGAAAAAATGTTAGCAAAATACTAGGTTTGTGACGACTCATTGTTCTCAAATTTTGTACATAACATGATTTTGTGGTCTCTAAATAACAAACATACTAATAAGTTAATTGTTTATCGGTTCTATTAGAAGCAATGGCACAATAGTTTGTTTATGTTGCAAAGGCAGAAATAGTAACAAGTCTATTAACATCTATTTGACATCCCCCAAAAATATATTAAAAATAATTTTACATTACTAAAAAGTGGACAAAATACTTATTCTTATTTTTCGATTTGTTAAATTTGAATTAAACTTTCCGTTGAATAAGTTCTAGAATTTAGGAAGTAAGTTATTTTCTCGTTAGTTAGCCCTATTATTGTGTTAGCGGATTAGAAAATAGTTTTTTTAAGTTTGGATATGTATTAGACGTATTTCTTATAGCAGTTTAATGAGATTCTAGCATTCGTGCATTCAATCTCTCTTTTCATAACAACACTTGGATTGTTTTTAGTTGGCATATACTCCAGCTCAGTAAGGATCGGCTTCTAATTTTTAAATACATTCAATGTGGGTTCGATTCTTTTCTTGATAAATTTATGATTGTCAACTCTTTTTTATTTTATTATAGACTTGTTGTTGCTTTGGCCTGATGTGGTTTCAACTGTGATTACTATTGGTTGAATTGTGTGTCAAGATGGTGTGAAATCTGGTATAGTATGCGACCAGTTCAATTACTCTTACTTTGGTGATTTGTTTAATATTAGTTTGGGAGGAATTCTTTATATTGATTCAATTGTGCTTGCATCACTAAAATTAGAATTGTAAGTCTAATTTTGGATTAAAGTGGCTAAGTTTGGTTGTAATTGTGAAAGAGCTCTTGTGAGCTTCATTAGATGTGTATATATATATATATATATATATTTATTACTTGGCATTTTCTTTATAATAAGTGTGTTGAGAGGTTTTTTTTTTTTTTTTTTTTTTTTTTTAAGTTTGACCTTTCATTTGCTTACTTTTACTTGCCAATTTTTCAGGGAGTTGAGGTGATATTGATGTGCTTGATGCTATGATGCCAGAGAAGTTTTCTTGTATGTATTATTTAATATTTTGACATAATGCTTTGCTTTTTTGGTGCTCGTGAACTAGATTTCGATGTCGATATATTGGTTTCTATAGTAATCTTGTTTGTGATAATAGTAAAATTAAACTATAATATGCCTAACAATTGACCTGTGCTTCAGTTGCTATGCTTTGAGGAATAATGTGACATTGGTGTAATTAAGGACCGTCTTAGTTGCTGCTCTACATGGCACATTCAGCTAAAGTCTTTTTTTTTTCTTTTTTTTTTTTTTTTTTTTTTGACTAAAATGACTATTTGGCTGTTGTTTTCATTTTATTTGGAAGAATTAAAATATGCTAATATTCTATTGCTTGGTTTGTTTTCTTTCACTTTTTGATCTTGCTACAAACAAAAAGCCTTGGTGAGATACCGCTGTGAGAATACTGCAGTGGAGGTTTGAAAGTTGTTGGACGACATTCTAAAAGAATCCTCCTATGTCTAAGGCTAGTAACAAGTTATCAATACCTTCTTTATAGGTTCTGTGTAGTGGAATAGAGAAAAGGCATCCAAAATTTTAGTACGGGAATCTCAAATTTGGAAATTGGTAGTAAAGCAACTACCTGGTGTAATGATCGTTGCAATCATTCTCTAGAGATTCTCCAGTTAAGGAAATTATTGTTTAGGTGTAAATATCTACTGTTTTTTCTTCAATATTTCTCTTTTTTCAGTAATATTGTGTTATAAACAATGTTGGCCCTACTTATATAGTAAAATGCTTTGTTATTATAGGTTTTCTACTTGTGTCAATGACTGCTACATGTTTGGGACATGTTTTGATATGACTACTGAGTTATAGAAATTAGTGATTATGTTGGTTGATTTATGTTGTGAAAAATTGAATGTGGTGTTTGATTTATGTCTTTAAAATACTATAAATTTAGCTTTGTTCGATGTTTCATTATTTATGGAGTTCAATCCCATGTTGATGATTATTTTGAATGAATTGCATTGCTGATTTTGTTGGAATCACACGAAATTTGTTGATAATTACAGAGTTGTTTTTACTATGATAAAAGGAAATTAATTATACAAGTTGTTACAATGTTCTAGTTAAGGATTAGTAAATGCATGATTAACCAACTGCGTAGTGCACACTTAGATTCCTTTTGATTTTACAAGTCGATCTCATTGAGTGGACTTAAAATGATGTATATGATTAATCTTTGAAGGTTTTATTTTTTTGTACTAGTTTATTCATTTTGCAGATAGATTTTTTTTATATTTAACTTATTCATTGTAGCTGGTTCGCCGCATCGGAGTGTCTCCCCCTTACTTCATCGTTGCATGAGCATCTTCTTACCATGTATATGCTTAGATATGGACTGATGTCTTACTACATTGATCATTTTGCATACAAGTACGTATTTTTAGCTTGTTTGCCTTTTATGCAGTACTTTCAGGATAGTTGACACTATTGTTGGTGTAACTGTATTTGGAATACCTTAGAACATGGTTGGATCGGTCTCATTTTGTAAGTTTTATGATGAATTTCGGATTTAATATGGAAAAAATATGATGTATGTTATTTGTCACGAAATTGATGCGGTTACAAACACTATAGCAATTGCATCATCTTTAGACTGTTACAAAAAATTAACAAGCGGTATATTATTTGCTGCAAAATTATCTCGTTACAAAAATCATTACAAAAAGATATTGCAACTATTAGAAAATATTTGCAACGCATCATTTGTTACGGCTATGTTTCGTTACAAAAACGAATTCTAATTTTTGTTGTGTCCAAGAAACTGTAACGAAAATTCTATCCACGCGCATTAACCACAATTCTTTTGTTATGACATTTGTTGCAAATTCGTCACAAATAATTTTTTGTCACAAAAATACAAGCATTCGTAACAACTTTAAATCCGCTAGAAATAATCATTTTTTTTGTAGTGCAATTTTTTCACTTATATATATACATATGTTATAACATGTAATTTAATGGAGTTGAATAGTGTGACTTATCAGCTTCTTTCCAAAAGCTCAATTTTATTGTAATGAAATAGCTTTGGAATTAAGAAAAAAAAAAGTTAAGACTCTAGAACATTCTATTCAACATTTGCTTTAATAATTTGTCTTACCAAATATAAAGATAATATTCAATTTTCATAGCTGTCACTTATAAAAAAAAAATTATTATTACGGTAATAAATTCAAAATATTACGAACACAATTTTATATTATATTGCGACAAACATTTGAAGCGGCAAGAGAGAAGAAAAAAAAGTTGAGAATACAAGAGGAAAAAACTAGGTAGACGAAAACACATCTTCAACAATTTGCAAAAATGAAGCGCGGTAGCAGGAAGCGGGTGCCTCAAGAAAAGACATTGATAGTCTACACTAGACGGAAGGAGAAAAGGTTAAGTCTCTTCGAACAATTAGTTCATCTCAACCAGGAAACTAGTAAAAACAATCGCGAACTGTGTGATCCATCACCAGACGTTGATTCTAGCTGCGGAAAGGGTTCGGGCAAGAGAAAGAAGTGCACAATTTATACTGTTCAGTGCGGATCTGACGATACAATTGTGACTGAGGTTTCCTTTATTGAAATTTACCTTTCGCACAAATTGAATTTTATCGGAAATTTTAAAACTAAAAATTTCCATTTTCATAAGTAGCTTTGAAAGCCATTGAAGTTTTATGTGGGTGTAGTTTAAACTTCAAGTGGGTTCGAGAATTTGCGCAACAAAACATAATTTTGATAATAATCTGAAAAGATTCGGGAGGTATTTATGTTCGGAGTGAATTGTGAAAATATTACAAAAATAGAATTTGTTTAGTAGTGTGAGAACACAACCAAACATAACCAAATAAAATAGATATGATGTTTATATTTTTTTATCACACGTACACATATATATGTATCTATATCTTTCATTTGAATATGTTGAATTCCATTATAGATATGTATTATTCGTTTTGAATCATCAACTCTAAGCCCTTCCCAACCTCAGAGTCTATACTCAATGGCTATACATGCAATTTCCTATGTATATACTATGTGGCAGTTTGGGATTCTAGATGGTGCTTCAAAACAGTCCTACGTTATTTTCATAAATTTAAAAAATTACACATAAGTTGGGGGTTATGGTTTGAGGTTTGAGGCTATTTCCCTTTACTTTCGCTATGATTATGTAATGCTACAACTAATGATCAAACAAATGTCTTTAGCGGCAGGACATCGCTGATCTCACGAAGAAGGATTTTAGGGTTTTCAAGAATCAAGACAACAATGAAGATAGAGAAGAGGACAGGGAAAATGATAATGAGCAGGGGATGAATAAGGATGCCGAGAAGGCTAAAGAAACGGATATTGTCAGTTCTCAGGCTGCATGCAGAGGAAAGCAGCCGAGGGGGAAGAATCCAGCAGCTGCCGAATTGACTGAGCAGTTACCAACCTCAGGTGAAGAGGACAGGGGGATGACCTCTGGACGGTACAATTTGAGAAAGTTCCCGGCACCATGCTTTCGTTTCAGCGACAACTTCACATTGCTTTCCCAAAAACGACAATCTGAAACCTCCTCCAACACATTGGATTATAACTGGAACAATGAGTTTCCAGGTTAGTACATGTGCATATAGATATAAGCATAAATGGCTGGGTATCCCCAACCCCCATGAGAACTCAGACCCCCAGCCCCACACTCATAGTGTATGCACAAAAAGATAAGTAAATAAATAAGTTGTATGTATATATAGGCACGGCACAAGATCGTCGGCCCCCATCTTTCCCAGCTCCGTGTAATACAGTATGTATATTAAAAAATATGTATGTATATGTGATATATAAATATATACAATCACATATGCAAACATATTATATATATATATATATATTACTTTGGGTAAGGGGCTGAGAAAAATGGGGGCCGACGGTTTCGTCCCATATAGGCATACAATGTGGGGGCAGAAAATTTGTGAGGCTGAGGATCCCCAGCAACCATAATTAAGTTTCTGTTGAGCATGTTTCCTCATCAATTGTCATATCACTTTCATGCAGCTTCGGTCATACGGACTGACATGAGAATGGGATGTAGAAATATGGCTGTGGATGTCACACGCCGTGACACCTACAATCAACCTTCTCCATGTCCCAGGAAGGACATAACCGATTCGACTATTGAACCACAGCAATTGATTCCAGTATGTTCTAATGTTTGTTCACCTAGCTTTGTCCATAATGTAGCTTTGTTTCATCATAGAATGAACTTACAGTACCTACCATGATCTGTGCTTCAGAACATGACAAACTTTCAAGATCCTGAAGCCTATGCTACAAGTCTTGCCAAATTTGTTGCGGATCTCGGGCCGGTGGCCCAAAAAGTTGCATCAAGAAAATTAGAAAACGCCTTACCTCTTGGGGCGCCATATGGGTTGGGTTTGATTGGTGAATCTGCAGCTGCTTTGAATCCGGTATCCATTCAACTGAATATCCGGGAGACGCACAATTCATCGTAGATAATACAATTCCATCATATCTAAACTCAAGCTTGGTTGGTTGCCAAGCTTCTAGCGGGTAATCTCAAAGCTTCCCATGAGGTACCCTATGTTTGGAAAATATATATTACAATTATGATATTAGTCTTATTTGAGATATTATAAGTATGAATGGTTTCTGCTAAATGAAATAGAGAACTCAATATATCTGAACATAGTTTTGGATTGTATAGAATATTACTCTTTCAATCTTGAAACTGGTTGATCATTTTGCCAATGTCCACAATAAATATCTCAATTAGAGTAATTGGAGTTGAATATGTATTTAGGTGTGTTTGTTTGAGGGTTTGGATTTTGAGTTGGGATTTGAATAGTAAAAATTTTAAATTTGAATAGTTGTATGATGTGATATAAATAGGTGTTGATGTGATGTTTTGAATGTAAAATTGATTTTTAAGATAATATAAAAAATAAAAAATAGGTATTTGATTTGATATTATTGGAGAAAAAAAATAGGATGAATAGTGGAAATCCAAACAAATCCCTCAAACAAACACACCCGTGTGTGTTTGAGGGATTTGTTTGGATTTCAACTATTTATCCTATTTTTCCCCACAAAAACATCAAATCAAACACCTATTTTTTTTTTTTTATATTATACTAAAAATCAATTTTACATTCAAAACATCACATCAACACCTATTTATATCACATCATACGACTATTCAAATTCAAAACTTTTACTGTTCAAATCCCAACTCAAAATTCAAATCCTCAAACAAACACACCCTAATTATAAAATGCATATATATATATTAGATTATTAACATGTTATTTCTACTTTAGTTAAATAAACTTCCATCTTTTGATTTCAAACTATTTGTAAAAGTAATTCACACAGTCTCTTATGGGTCCGTTTGGTTTGAGGGTTTATTAGAGAAAGGAAAGGAATGAGGGATAATTCTAAAATTTTTTGCTTGGTTCAATTCTTTTTTTTTTTGTCTTTTTTTTTTTAGAAAAGAAAGGAAGGGAGGAGAGGAAATGTCTTCTATTATTTTTTACCCTTCAATTTAAAATTCCAAGGGGAGGTATTCGGAGGGCTTAAATCTTTTTTTTTTTTTTTTTTTTTTTTTTTTTTTTATCTAATTATCTTGTATATCCTTTAAATATTTTATTAGAAATTTTATAACATCTTTAAAATTTTAATATTAATTTATTTTATTTTCATTGTATTATATAAATATATATATTGTACATTATTTAAATTAGATTATATATCTTATATATTATTACTTTATTTTTTAATCAAAGGTTTAATTATAATATTTATTAATAAATTATAAAAATTAGTATAATTATATCTATAATAATAATAATAATAATAATATTTTAATACAGAATTTTAAAGTGATTTAATTTTAAATGAATAGATTTAGTTTGATAATTGAGTTACTTAACTAAATATATATAAATTAACATAAATTATTAGAACTAATATATATAATTGACTTTGTTTATATAAATTTTATTATATAAATATATATAACATTATTATTTATATGTTTCAATAAATACTTACTTCTATATTCTAAAATAAATTATATTATAAACTCAGTTTAATTATATTTTGAAATATGTGATAATATACTTAGTTTATATAATTTTTTTTTATAATATTACTATTTATATATAAAACTATTGTTTATCTATATTGATAAGTTTAATAAATATCTAATGTATATGGTGTTCGGTTTCTCCGATACTTAATAATTTACTTTTTGTTTTATTATATTGAACAAATAAATTTTGTATCATATTTTATAAATAGTTCTATCGAATTTTATTAAATATTTTTATTTTTTTATTTATATAATATAGTACCAAAATAGTAAAATTATTCTATTTTCTTTCCCTTTTTCTGTCTAACCAAATACAAACATATTACTTTCTCCATTGTTCCATTCCATATGAGCCAAAGACACTGATATAATTTTAATATTCTCTCCCTTCTCCCCACTTTCCCTATGTTAAAATCCCTCTCCTCTCCTCAACCAAACA